ATAACAGTGCTGAAAACAAGAAGTAGCCACTGCAGCACTACAGACGTTGGGGCGAGTAACCCTGAGAATTTTAATTTTTAAAAGAATTTTAAATTAGAACTGGAGATTTTAAAAGTGTCGGTTCATAATATCAAAATTGATGAGTGTAGGCAACAAAGATAATGCACAAAGCAGACAGATATCAGCGAAGTAGATTCTAATAAATCGAAACGGGTTAGTAATGACGAAAGGAACAATCAGGAAGACTTGTGGTTTTAAATTTTAAACTAAGTGCAGTGTAACAGCTATGTAAGTGCATACACCTGATGATGGCCGTTTGCGGCCGAAACATGTAGTGTAGAAGAGGGCAAGACAAAAGAACTACAATAAATTGTTGCACGATCTCGAAAATATAACGCCATGTAGTCCGTTGAAAGTCAAATCGACATTTCGGAGGAATATCCCCTGCTTGTCACCTGCTTCCGCGGTGGTTTCTGAGCTTGGCTTATTCTTCAACGTTGAAGATTGAGGTGATATGTTCCTCCGAAACGTCGGTTTACTCGCAACGNCGGCAAATTGCAGCCGCGGCGCGCACTTGATTGTACGCACTGTACGTCGTAATACCCCAGAAGATAGAACCTTTAATAACCGCCGGTGTGAGAACCTAAAATCCTGCTCGAACAATCTCAATGAGGTACGTGTCTATCAACTGAGATTTGAACCGAGTTTATCCCTCATACTTGACAGCTGAGCTTGGGTTGGGGGAACATTTTTGCGGTTTGCAACCCTCGACCGGTCAAGCCGTAGTGCACGACACTTGAATTATTAGAGAGCTGACTGACAGTAGCCTACTTGACTCTCAGAAGCTTAATTAGATAGGGAACTCCTGCTAACTTCAATTAGCACACAAAGCCTCCAGGAGTGGGTAGAATTGAATTAGCACGATTTGAATGAAAATTGACAGCCTTCACTGAGAAGGATAAAATGTTCATCCATGCACGGTTTGGGTGCTCGATGAAGGGTTGGGTAATTAAACTTCAATTATCATATAAAATGCACGTGACGTAACCTCTCGCTCATGAATGGCCAATGGACACTGAACGAGGGTACTTCTAAATTCAATTGTATGAGGGGATCAGACTCACTGACTCTGCATACCAGGGTTTGTAAAATTGAAGTAAAGTTTGCTCTGTGTTTAGTTGACACTTGGAAGTCTAGGATTAATTTAAACAATGTTTCAAAAATCCAAACCAAGTTACCTTAAACTGTAAAAATAAAAAAAAAAGACTTTAAAGTAACTAGGAAAGTAGTGGCCGCGCCATAGCTTAAGCGGTTAGTCGCTGGCTTCCCACCGCGGCGGCCCGGGTTCGATCAGGGGGTGTGGTCAAGTGGGATTTGTGGTGGACAAAGTGGCGCTGGGGCGGGTTTTCTCCGAGTACTTCGGTTTCCCCTGTCAGTCTTCATTCCACCAAATTCTTCATCATCATAATCACCCAAGGCAGGCTACAATAGGCGAATCAGTGGCCGCCGTGCCGAGTGGACCAAATTGGACTCCACCCCCCACTAAGCGAATAAAAAAACTAGGAAAGTAATTAGATTCTAACAATTGTGTGGGGTGTGAGGTTGTAAAATTGACTAATCTGGCTTAGGATACGGTCCAATAAGGAAGTTCCGTGTTCCATAAGGCCGGGTACACACTAGCGAGCTGTTGCATATAACGTAACGGTTACTGTGACCACGTTCTGTTAGTGGGGATGCCTTCCGAACCACGCTCACGTAACACGACCGGCGAGCCACTGCCTTATCGGCTTTTGCTGCGAACACAAAGGGACTCGTAGTAGGCTCGTGGACGCCACACTCGCTTGCTCGTAAATATGTACGTTTCCTCCGAACCAGGAGTAGCGTTGCGAAGCACTAGGGAGTGGGACGATGAGAAATGCCTGAATTTAATTGAAATCTACAGGAACAAACCGTTACTTTGGGACGTAAATGATAGAAATTATGTGAGACACCTGAAAGACGATGCATGGGCTGAATACTTTGCTTGGATATACGGAATAGATACTGTAAACCTGTAAAAGAGTCCCCAGTCGCCAAGTATCTCAATGTCACAGCTAATCGATCTTGCATCGAAATCGCCTCTCTGAACTTAAGTGTTCCTTTTCCGGATCCTAGGTCCAACCAGATTAATCAAATATTCGAAGTCCATTGGATTCAGGCGGGTGAAATTTTTGTAATGCCCACTAATTGTTTGCGATTTCAAATCCAAAAGTAAAGCAGGACCGCTTCTGTCCTTGTATAGTGCATGCTGCCAGAATCTTCGTGGGCGTTTATCGTCGTCAATTAAGTGGTGTATGAGGATATACGTCGCACTTGCAATTAACTCAGGCGATAAGGAGGAAGACATGTCTTCATGGCGAGCTCACCACGAGCACTATGGATCGGGTCGCTCGCAGCTGGTTACATGACGACTATGGACATGTAGTCCATACGAAGACGTGGTTACAGTAACCGTTACGTTACATGCAACAGCTCGCTAGTGTGTAGCCGCCTTAAGAGAATTTTTTGACCAACAGAAATAATATTAAATTTTGAAGTAGGAATTTACTCCAAGAAGATATTTAACTAATCATTTAAGGCACACTGTTACCATCTGCTTTAATCTCTCCATTTTACTCAAAGACTGTATTTATTTGTATTCATTATAATTCTCAGAATATATGGTAATTATTTCGCTAAACTACCATAACCGGCTGGTCCTCGTAATGGAGATATATTACGTTTCCTGTGAAGTAGGAACTGAATTTTTAAGTATTATTTAGATGAAATTCACAACCCTTAGGCGACGAACGGCATTTAAAGTAAACCTTACTGGGTGGACGGAGGATATTTTAATTTTCGTACCAGAAATGCGCTACGTTTATCAATTCGCTGTAAAAGCAAAGAAAATTGGAATTTCAATGCGAAAAATTATCGTCATATTCAGAAAAGAAAGTACTTTTAGATTTTATAAACAGCACGGCGATATTTCAATGTTTTCGCCTGAAGATCACAATTATTTTTTTAAAAACGGCGTAAAAATTTAGAAATACAGAATTTAAAACCGGAAACGAACACTGTGCTCTGTATAAAACATAACGTTTCTATTAACTACTCTACTTTTATTTAATTATGCAAATTTCCTTAGAAATTAAGTTGTGTGTGATAAGCTTCAAAACATCCGTCGACACAGAGCCCGACTTCACATTCCTGACAGGGAAACCTCGAGTTTCTCCTGCGTCCATGTTTGCTGCATATATCACACCTCCGTGGCGTTGATTTCTTCCCAGAAAGAGCAACCCTTTGAATGAAATGTCTTTCATGCAACCTCGGTATGACATTTTGTTCCTCCCGGCCACTTCGCACTTTCCGCTCCGTATCAACGAACTGTTCAAAAACCGCGTGCACCAAACTGACTCTGAATGTGAGGTGATCCATTTTCGTTCCTGTGTTGTGTCTATATATTATCATGGCATTCACAACTGTCGCATTCAGAAGTCTTCTGAAAAGTTTCATGTACCATTTGTGAAAACGTTTCTTTCTATTAGGTAAGTTTGCAACAGCTGGTCTTTCAAGTCTGCGCCCCCCATCCACTTATAATAAGTTACACACAGGGGTTTTTGTTTTTCTTTTCCTCTCTTCGAATCACTTCTCATTTCAGCGTTGTGATAAGTAGAAATCATAACATTCCTTTTATCACGCCACTTCATAACAGTCACTGGCCCAGAGTGCTGGGCAATAATCTCTCCCTGTTTCAGTTTGGCAGCTTTGATTACCTTGGGTACACCTCATTTGTTTACTAGCTCAGAACAAAGCCCCATTCATTCTGCAGTCGAAGCTATGTGCTTATCTAAGTGCCGTATCAGTTTTCACCAAGCTAAAGTACATATGTGTGTAGGAACAATAATCACGACTCTAAACACAGCCTGAATATACAGGATTGTACTGAAAGTCATGAGGAACAATTTTTTGTAAAGTAACATGCTTTATTATTGACAAACCAAATACACCACTTCAATCTACAGACCTTTCTTTATTTTTCCACATAATCGCCACTTCTTTGTACACATTTCTCCCAGCGTTCTGGGAGTTTGAAAATTCCCCTCTGTAAAATTCCGTTCCAGCCATCTGAAGACACTGACGCACTGCTTTCTGAATTGCCTCCCTTGTCTCAAAACGTCGTCCACGCAGCTTATCCTTCACAAATCCGAAAAGATGGTAGTCTGAGGGTGCCAGATCAGGGCTATAAGAGGGGTGTGGAAGAACTTCTCACCCCATCTTTGCAATTGCTTCCAATGTGGTCTTCGGTCAATAACCGCGGGACCCAACGAGCACAAACTTTCCTATAGCCCAAGCTTTCAATCATCTCCTGTACTGCACTGTGCCCTATTCCAAGTTTTCGGGCTATTGTGTCCACAGTCACACGCCTGTCATCTTAAATGATCTCATCCCCTCTTTCCTTGTTGCGTTAAGTTGAGGCTGTTCGAGGACGATCACTCCGAGGCTCATCTTCGATGCTGGTGGTCCCATCTTTGAAATGTTTAAAATGCTTAATCATATTTTCCTGTCTCAAATTCTTTAGGCTGAAAATGAAAGCAGTAGGTTCCTCCTAATTATGGCAAGTTTCTACAAAATACACGATGTCACATCCTAAAGTCAATAACCCTGAATATGTAAACTGTAAAATTAGTCGAGACGTACAAAGTCTTCATCATTCGATTCGGCCTTGCTCCGAACGTGCGGAGTCACACTTTATGCTCCAGCCTCGATAAACTAAGGAATCAGAAAAAGGTTGTGTAAATTTGAGAAGGTCTAAAATAATGGAGCTTGTTGAATTCCAGGTCCTCACAGCGATGGCTATGATGAATGTTATTTTCTGGGATATAACGCGAGTAATCAGTTCAACCGACGTTTCGGTGGAACAAATCATCTTCATCTTTAGGGTCGCAAAGTACGAAATTAGCATCAAGAAGGCTACATTAATCTGTCCAGCGGCCTAGTTCGTGCTATCTTTCCTTGGCTTACATTTCGACGCTGAAAACAGAGGCGATATATTCCTCGGAAACGTCAGTTGCCTTTCACCTGACTACATGGCTTTGTATCCCAGAAGATACAACTCTAGTGACGTTCTACCATATTGTTTACCCACGAAGAGAACCTAAAATGGCGTCTTGGCCTTGTAAGAATTCAGGCTACAACTAGAGCTAAGATGTAACCAATATTTTATTATAGGGTGTCCGATGGCTCCCCCTGAAGATGGACGAGTCATCATTGATCAATAACACAGCACTGGATGTGCTGTTCCCCACGTACTTACTGCAGCTTCAGCATGAGGACCAAGACCTCACTTACCATAAATCAACCAGTCAACGTCGATTTGCATTTCAATAGAAGACAACGATATTTATACATGACGTCATATGCAACAGTGACGTCACTAGATTAAATGTGATGCATTATACATATCTGTGTTTTGACGTGATAGTAATTTGTAAAGGTTTTGATAATAAAATAATTTTTATTCTGTGTCCACTTACTTTGTCATTATATTACAAGTGTCAAATTTCTAAAGTAAATTTCATATTACATTCTAGAAATATTTTGGTTATTATATATTTTCTTTAAAAAAAGCTTTCCCCATATAATAAACTGATACATGATACATGTAATAATAACTTTAGAACTGGTTTTATATGGTTACAAAATAGTGGTTCTGTACGAATAAAAGTTATTTATTTATTTGTAGCTTATTTAACGACGCTGTCGCTAGTTGAGATTATACAGAGTGTCCCAGGAGGAAAGGTCAATATTCTGGGAGGTCATAGCATTGGTCGTTCTAAGCAAAAATTTGTATATGTAAAAAGGTAAAACTGTCCCTGTAGCAGGCCTTGCAGGTCCATAGGGTTGTGAGATGTCGAGGCTCACACATTGTCTATAAAATGGGCTCACAGATGGCGGTAAGGTTGTCAGCCGTACGCGCCGGCCGCCCTTTACCCTCCAGGAAGATTCCTGGTACTCATTTCTGTTAGAGGCTGAGTCATAATGCCACAATGCGGCTGGAAGAATTAGGTAAATCGAAAAAATCCAATAATCAAATCGGGAATCGAACCCGCGACTTTCTGGCTTGTAGCATAGTACGTCAACCAACGACGCTACCGCGTGCCCTCGTTTATTTACGTACATTTGTCCTATTCCNGCTCACACATTGTCTATAAAATGGGCTCACAGATGGCGGTAAGGTTGTCAGCCGTACGCGCCGGCCGCCCTTTACCCTCCAGGAAGATTCCTGGTACTCATTTCTGTTAGAGGCTGAGTCATAATGCCATAATGCGGCTGGAAGAATTAGGTAAATCGAAAAAATCCAATAATCAAATCGGGAATCGAACCCGCGACTTTCTGGCTTGTAGCGTAGTACGTCAACCAACGACGCTACCGCGTGCCCTCGTTTATTTACATACATTTGTCTTATTCTGAACGGTTTCCGAGGTATAGCTATTTCATATTATCGCCCGTATAAAGAAACGTCAAAATGCACTGAGACGAGCAACACGCCATGTCCTCACACGAGTTGCACCGAGATAGAGCTATGTCACTGTACAGTTCACTGAACACTGTACAGACGGGCAACACGCCATATCCTCACACGAGTTGCACCGAGATAGAGCTATGTCACTGTACAGTTCACTGAAC